AATTCTTCTTCTTTCAGAATCGGATGGAAGAGAGTAAAGCTCTATTCCGTACCATAATAACGTACCCCTGGTTTCAGAATTCATCAATTATACTCTTTCTGAACAAGAAGGATCTGTTAGAAGAAAAGATAATGTTTTCACATTTGGTGGAGTAYTTTCCTGAATTTGATGGTAAGTCGAGATACGCTGGATACAATGGCTAATAGAGGCTTTGCACCATCATGTGATGGCAGCCATGACAGGAGGCACAGCAATAGAGTCCTTCTCCCCTGGGAAACTGAATTCTTTCTCATGTAAATCAGATGAGACGAGATTCAATTTTACCTGCCTCCTGTCATGGCTGCCATCAAGTGATGGTGCAAAGCTTCTATGGTACTATAATCTCTCACRATTATTTTTACAGTAAGAGATTCACTTTATAATTTCATTCCAAATCTTTCAAAATWGTTACACAATCCTTACTGCAATGTGAACTTGACACAGTCTTTTCCGCAACCTCAGAACCTAGGGCGGATCCAGGGGGGCAAAGGGGGGCTGAAAACAAAAACAAAACTGAAGAATTAGATGCTTTTTTTATTGTATTCCGTTGTGTTGACAGAAAAAACTCAATTAGCTGCCCCCCTAAACTCAATTAGCCCCCCCCCCCCTAAAATTTTGGCTGGATCCGCCCTTGAGAACGGCTACTATGCTACTATAAAGGTTTGGCACCATCACGTGACAGCAGCCATGTTAGATGGCAGGAACAATACAATYGTTTTATATGAGAAAGATTTCAATTTCCATAAACACAGGGATTTTATTCTGACAACTMACCACAGGCAGTATTATGGGTGCTGCCACGGGATGGTGCAAAACCTCTTTATGTTTTTCACAATTATTCTCGCACTAATAAATTCACATTATAATTTCATTCCAATTGTTTTYTCCAGGCCCTCAGTGCGATGCTCAAGCAGCTCGAGAGTTCATTCTTAAAATGTTCGTGGATCTTAACCCTGACACAGATAAGATAATCTACTCACATTTTACCTGTGCTACTGATACAGAAAACATTCGCTTTGTGTTTGCAGCAGTAAAGGACACAATCTTGCAACTAAATCTTAAGGAGTATAACCTAGTTTAAACACAGAATCATAGGTGGGTAATTTATATTATGCAGACTGCGAAAGAACCTCATTGGTTAATATGATCTTGAACTTCTCAAGAGTGAGGTCATAATGCCGTTGATTGTTGAACGGGTTACTTGACTGCAACACCCTCCCCCCCTGTTTCGGATTAGCCAATCACACCTCTTTATTATCCAATAGTGGATGTAACTTCAGTTATTTATGGGTCAAAGGCTACCTAACGATTTTGTCCCTTTCATTGTGATTAGGTACGTATAATCATTTTCTATTCATTCAGTTGCGGATTTCATTCAGTATCTTCTATTATCAAGTTTAAAACCTCGGCATAACCCAGAAGGACTAGAAAGAAAATGCTAGTCTCCTTGTTTACCACTGTTCCATGGCTATGCACTGATCAAGTTAACAGTCAGGAAAATCTGCAATTCACTGCAGTCAGAGTATGTGAAGGTACAGAACAATTAATGTTTGATTGACAGCAATTTACTGCTTGATTTCTGTTGCGACTGTGATCTCTATCAGCGTATAGCAATGCAAAGAGTAGTAACTGTTCTTGTGTGACGGCATGTACACAAATCTGGAAACTTACCAGACAAACAAAGGAGACCTTGTTTATTTCTAATGATTATTATTATTACGCCATTGCATTGTTTTGTTTTTTTTTGTATCCATTGATTGAGCATCTCAAGAAAATTTTTGATTTTGAAATAAAATTGAAAGACCATCCTATGAGAGAGTGGGTGGGGAGTGAGCAGAAATCATGTGGGAGGGGAGGGTAGGTAAGAATTTAGAAATCTTTTAGAAAAGGGGATGGAAAATAGGATTCAATTGATTTGGAGATTCAGAGCTTATTCTTAAGGAAAATTAGCTTTGAATTTTTATGGAATGAGAAAAAGAAGAAAAAATTTCAATGAATACAAAAACAAAAATGCAATGGTCGTTCCGTTATGGGTTTGCTTTCGCTCACGATACATGACAAGGATCCAGAAGTTCTATAACTAAGTTACTACACCAAATACCAATGCTAGTATCATTATCATTAGGTAGCACTACCACAGGAWGCCCAAGCAATTACTTGTACCGTATTACGAAGGAATGTATGTGGAATCATATATCATAAGAATATCTAGAGTAATATTCCTAGATAGCTTACCATTTTTTCGTGACTCTCGTTACTGCTGTCCTTTGTGTCTGTATGCGATTTTAGGTCAATCTGACTAGTTTTGGCATTTTACGGGCCTATAAATAATTATTTTTTATTGTTGATAACAACTGGTAAGCTAACTACAAAAACTACTATAGATAATCTGACGATATATATTTGCACATAGATTTCTTTGTATTATGGCACAAGCTCATTGCATGGGCTTCCTGTGTCCTGTGGCACCACCTCAACATCTAGCTGCCTAAGCTGAAAAGCTTTTAAGTAAAATCACCCAAATCAAAGTCTTTGAAATTTTTTTAATTAGCTCTAAATTGAAATAAGCCACTTGTTACTCATTCCATATTAGGGCCCCTTTTTGTAACTTGCAGAGAAACCCATAGTGATTAAGGACCTTTGAAATTCGGCCCACAGAAGAGACAGTCTATGAAGCCCCTCACGGATAGTGTCCCAAGAATACTTCAGTTTTGTTGATTAAGTCTCTTTCTTAACGGGGTTGAAAAATCTCATGCTTATGCCCTGTAGTTTGCTTTATTTTTGCTTTGTTTAGAGCTATAAATTCCCATATCAACACTCTTTTACTTGTACAATCATTGATGAAACTCTATGTCAAGACGTCATTCAATCAGGATTACTTTCAACCTAAAAACACTCTAAAAGGCTCCGCAAAATGGGTTTGTGTTCACAGCCAACAAGACACGAAAAAAATATAAACGTTAATTGTTTCAAATAGTAATAGTTATGATAGAAGAAAAAAAGATTCAACCAGAGAAAACCTTTGTGTATTTTTGTTGTGGTTGTAGTACACTTACCCTAAATCCACAGCRCATCAAACAACATGGCAACTCAACAAAAAATTACCCAGTAAGTCTTTGCAGGCATTAACATGCACAAAGCAAACCTTAAAACTTGGTCTAAGTGTATTAGTATAGGAAATCGCACGATCTCGAGTACAATTTGGAATTAATAGACACGAGTAATGTTTTGAAAGTTYTTGTAATTGCACGAGCCTTTAGGCGAGTACAATTATAGAACTTTCAAAACATTACGAGTGTCTTTTAATTCCAAATTGTACGAGAAGATCGTGCGATTTTTTGTTTATAGTTCACTCAACAAAATTTCAGTAAAAAATGCGAAGCGACGCCGTTCATCTTTGTCTATTTGGCGGCCGATTTCCAGTCCATCGTGCAACTGAAATGCATAAAAAAGATTAGTTCTTACGGCTTTAAAATTTTATTTATGCTTTTTAAGTACAAAATTATAGAAAATRATTGTTTTGACATTGTTTTGGCCGTGTTGCCATAGCGACTTAATTCGGTACTCCTACGGAGTACAATTAACGCTATAATTGTACTCCTCTCGACCAATCAGAGTCGAGTAATTTTGTTGAGTGTACTATAAAAGAAGGTATATTAACTAGAATATTAGGAAAAGTGAGACGATTTCTAGATATTTAAAGAAATTTAGTTAACAGACACTTGATTTGCCATCTGTATAACGTGCAGTGGGTTTGAGCTAGCAGTTGAGCGAGCTAAAAAAAATAAATAGAAATAAAGAGAGGTTAGAGTTTCGTGCTCTCTTCGATGAAAGTTACCTCCCRTGACCCTCCCTCTTAGTATCACAAAAGTCTAAAGTGTACAAATTAAAGCCAGAAAAAAAAACATAGCAAAAAATTTATCTTGAACTATGATATATCTTACAAAATGTATGTTGATAATAGGTACACAAGTTATCTGGAGAATGTAAAAGGATGATTTCCCTTTTAAACTACTGTTATTCGTTGTGCAAGAACGAAAACTGATAAGATTGAGAAGGGAATGTATAAAAAAATGAGAAATGACAAAATAAAAGTCTTTTGTTGTGTTGCGCTTGTCCTGGTGTTTGTAGCTTGGAAGGTTCCTTCGGTTATAGAGTGGATGCAATTAAACCGTGAAATAAAATTAAACTAAATACTAACTAATAGTATCTATTTAGTAACTAATAGAGTGCAAACAATTAATCCGTGAAACACTTATTACTAAATAGTACAAAGTAGTGCTAATTAAACAATAGAAAACAATGGAATYTGCATGAAATTGTGCTATTTAGTATWACTAAAGTTTCATGGTTATATTGTTTGCACTCTAGTCACTATCACTTAACCAGAACATTCATCATACAAAGACAAACACACAAGAGACCATTTGTGTCTTTTGTTTAATAAATGTTCTGGTTGAGTGATAGCAACTATTAGTCACTAAATAGATACTATTAGTTAGTATTTAGTTTGATTTTACTGCAGGATTTAATTGCATCCGCTCTATAAATCAGCTGAATTAATGAATCTCTTCACCAGCCTACAATGATGACAGGCAAACACTGCCCGTCATGTGCTATCAACCAGAAAGTATTCTATAGCTGGGTATCAATCAGCTGAATGAATCTCATTACCAGCCTACGATAACAGGCAAACACTGCCCGTCATTTGCTATCAACCAGAAATTATTCTATAGCTGGGTATCAATATTGTTTCGGCTAACGATTGGTGGCACATGAGCATTCGTCCACTCAACGTTGTTAGGGGGAAGGTTGGTGTAGGAGCAGAGGAGAAACGCTTCTTTCTTTTGGAATTGAACTTCCTGGGTTGTCCGGGACTCAAAATATTTTTTCGCCGATTGCAGCTAAAAATAAGGAAGTCAGTAAATCCGATAAAGTTTCGCTAATGTGGCAGTGCGCAGTTTTTCAAGGAGTTGTACGACGTGATTTGGTTATAAACTGATTGGGTTGGCTTGCATAAAACACGTTTTCTTACCACACACTCTTGAATTTTCGGCAATGCGACACAGCTAGTCCAAGACTCTCAGACGTGAAAGGGATCTTGGGGCAGCCCCTCCCCCCTCTCTCTCCATGTATTGTGACCGATACTGACCTTGAACTTCGTTCACCGGGTAGTGTTGTCTTGGACTTTCTTGTCGGTTGGACTTTGACCTTCAAAATTAGTCAGTGATTTTGTTGATATTATTCCTGGATGCTGAGAATGAATACGGGACACAAGATATACCGTGCGGGACAGGTGGCATCGAATGCGGGACACGTACGGGTTTCCAAAATGGACACAAAAAACGGGAACTTTGGGGATTCGCGCCTTCAAAGTCTGTCTTCCCTGTATGTGAGTTGACTTTGATGAAATCTCTCCGACAATAAACAACGAAGGAGTATTTGTCAAAGTGAGTACAGAGGACCGKAAGTAGAATTATTCAACCGGATCAAACTCGTCTACAGTACTAAATTTTATATCTTGCAAGTGAATATTTTTATCTTCAAAATTTTCAAAGCTCTCTAAATTTAAGTAAACCACGAGTTATTTCGTTTTTAAATGAGTTCTTCTTTTTTTTGTTCATAAGGAATATATATTTTTTGATTTTCTGAAATTAATATTTTGATCTAAAAATATTCTCACTTCYGGTAATTTTCCAAGAATAAAAACAGCCCTCAAACGTCTCCTCGAAAGTGAAAGCGAATCTACTTGTAAGCGCTTTCTGCTCAAAACAACTTTGTTTTCGAAAGAATATCCACATATTGGGATTAATTGGTTCCATAAAACTCGAAACGTAGTGGTGAAGGAAATAAATCTGTAGAAAATGAGCGAAGAAGAAAGAGAAGGCCTCTTTTCTCGGTGCCCAAGACCAAATCTTTATGGCAACTATAATAACGGAGCGCATGAAGTCTCGTTGAATTCCCTTGGAGGCGAAAGAATCAGAACACAAAGGTAGGCACCTAAACAAAAGACTGAAATTCCTYTTAACTTGGGTCAATTTGGAGTAGTATTTATTATAAGAGAACTCTTCATAGTCATAGTATAACCGGTTGTTCTTCGGAAGTCATTTATATCAAGTCGTGTGGAGAAAATCTTTGCTGTTGAAGAATTAAACTGTTTGAGAAAATTCATTTCGCTTTCTGAATGTTTTTTATTCTATTAATTGCAATGTAAATACAGTTATAATCCAGTATCCGGAGCTTTGTATTATCTAGGATAATGTTGCTATTAGAGCCCTATATTCATGGTACTGAGCCTAAATGATGCGTGTTTTTTAAAGTCAGTCTCCGTGGCCAGCGAAGGATACATTTTCGCTTGCTTTCTCTCATCAAATTTTGAACAGTCTATTAARCGAGTAAAATTTTGCATTTAATGTCGGTGGAACCCAAAAATCAAGAAAATTAGGAAACATGAACTGATCTTTTTAATGAACACTGAAAGATTGTTCTCATTTTTTGAGCTGAGGGTCATATACTGTTGCGTGACACACGTGACCTATATGTTTACCTCATTGAAATTCAGTCACTCCGTCACACTACTGTCACGCATGTGTTTGTATATATCGATCATTTCAACAGGTCTCTGAGTGACACACCACTTAAATCCATAAAACTGAGTCCTTTATTGGAACTTTCAGTTTCGACCCAGTAG